GGGGGGGGGGGGGGGGGGGGGGGGGGGGGGAAGATTTTACTACTCCAATCAGAGCTGTGTTTCAAGTCTGACAAATCTAGTCGGCACGCAGTCAAAGGTTGAAAAATATGTAAAATAAAAATATAAATAAAAAACTTTCGCGCATCATTTACCACGCTGGTTTTTAGTTAGCCCAGTTTATTCGTACGGACTTTCCATTGAAATCTATACTTCAAAATTTAAATCACGGTGGTTATTTCTGTTGCGTGGCTTATTCCCTGTTCCTATTGTCTGGTACCTTTGTATTGTGTGATAGGCTTAATGATAAATTTCTTCATTCTTTCATGCCTCCTCGATTTTCACACATGCTATGTGTAAATATTTAATTGAGTGAACATTCCAACTAAATAATTTTTGAAAACACATCATTAGCAGGAAATTATGGAAAATTATTGCACAATGTTGTAAAATATAAAATCAATATTTAATCGTTTACATTCCCTTTTTAATATAATCACACAGCACACAATAATCGATCGTATGCAGATGCATACATAATCGTGCGTGAAGCAACAAAATGTCAAATATTTGCCCAAAATATATCTATACATATATATTTATTATACGTTTTAATAAAGCGCAAATTTCAAATTTATTTACGTAAATTCGTTGTATTTATGCATATGTTAATAAGATTTCCAAACATTTAGCTTTAACGAAAACGGTGCGCTCAATTCATTTTAACTAATCACATTATAGATATTTCGAGAAAATATATATCTTGGAAAGAGAAAAATTGACTAATCGTATAAGAAATGGTCAATCTTACACAATCCGAATGCAATAGGTGGACAAACGATAAGCTACAGCTTCCTCGTTCTCGCTTATTTCCTTTTGTGACGCAGTGACGGCCGCATAATTAACAAATGAGGACAAAATCCTCGAGGCTAAAGTACTCGCCCATAGCTAAGCTCATTTTATCGTAGCGCTTTTCAAAAAACTTCACGACAGGTTTAAACTAATTTCTGAATTTTTCGCAACGAACGGCCTTTTTCTTCTTTGCTCTGCAAAGAGGATATTAAAAAAAAAATTTCAGTGATATCTATTTAACGAATAATGAAGTTCTGAAATTTTTTTCGGGAAGGCCATGATCCACTGTCTAAACTTTTTCCGCCCGAACTTTCAATTGGCCACTCAAAAGTTCTCCTATATACAAAACGAACGAGTTGCCGGACCGTAACGGCGCGTTTAACCAATGCGGGCTACATCCGTAACAACGCTGTCGACCACGCCAGACCACGCCGTTATGTTTAACGGATCGATGAATTTTTCATTAATACACCCTCGCTTGCGAATTTTACTCGAATTTTTATTTCTCGCGCGGCGAAACTCTTTATCGGTAATAAAAGCACGCGTTAGGCGCTGAGAAACCGAAACCGAACTACACGACAAGATCAAGGTGATCTCGTCATAAAAGGACGTTATAATGTCTGATACAACTATAACGCGGCGAGAGGAATTAGATCTCTCGAAGCCCGCGGTTTACCACATTTCCAGCAAACTGCTTATCTATATCCGTGCATTACTGCGTCACTACGAAACAAACATTATTTAATCACGGAGGATTCGTATTGGGCATATTGCGGACCGATGAACATATTGCGAGACATCTTGAGACTGCCTGAACAGAAATCCGCTCATTCTTTATGAAACATAATGAGGATCCGCGAGATCCGCGATATCAGAGTTCCGTGAATGCATCTCCCATCTAAACGGTAGATGAAATAAAAGTGTTTCGTGGCTCGCGTCGTTACGACTCGTTCCATGCGAACAAAACACGAAGCATTGTTATCGCATTCTCCCAGAATAGAAATTAAATTCTCGCAGAACAATCGCCAAACTTCCTGGGAAAGTTTTACCCCGCGGTTTCTAATGAACTTTTCGACGTTTCTCGCTTTTTCAACGGTCCGCCTTATCATTAACAAACTGGAGGTATACAGTAACCTGCAACTTTATATTGTAAATTAAGCATAAATCTACTTCTAGGAACATAATATTATGCTTCACTAAGGTTCATTAAGCGAGAAGCTATAAATGTTATTATTTATGTTCAAACTTTGCGTTAAATTAATGCAAATTTCAGCGCTATCAACGCTGCTTATTCGCGATATATATGGAGAAAGTGTGTCAACTATTTTAGCTCAAAGGTGGCTTTTTTCGGCGAGTTAAAGACGGAACAAAGATTCAAAGAAGCCCTCAAGCACGCTCGCAGTCTAAACCGCCACTTGAATAGCTACACGCACCGTAATGAGATCTGCTCCGGAAGGTCGGATTTCCGGTGCCTTTACGCCACGCGATAAACAGCGCAACCTTTCGCCGAGGTAATCGCAGCGATTTCCGTCAAATCGCCTTTTCACGCGCTACAGCTATCCTCGCTAAGAGACTGGCGGACGTGGAGCGCCAGACCGATCTAGTTTCGCATGAAAATGCAAATGGTCAGGTCTCTTATCCGTATATGGCTAATAAATGCAGCACGTCGTCATTGGACCTAATGGTAAAAAAAAAAGAATGGAAAAGTAAAGAGAGGTCTCACGGAATGAAATTTAATGGGGTCGCGCGCGCTAAATGACATTTTCATGTCATTACAAAAGGACGACGTATTTTTGACATTACGCCAAAGGAATTCTGTCGTTCGGTACGGCACATTGATAATTCTATCGGTTAATCTCAGATTGCGCCGAGAAATTCTCGACTGACGGCGGGCGCAGAGGCGTTGTCTAACCGGCTGTTTAATTACGCAGACAGATTCAAACGGGCAGGAAAAGAGATACGCTTTCGTGCGCGTAATCCCTTTCGTGTGTGTGATCCCATGTTTGAGCGTGATTAGCATTCAGCGTGCTCGATTTGCCGTAACAATCTCGAAATTTTCGGCGTAAATGTACAATTTATTTAGCACGCGCCAAATAACGGCGGATCGTTATCCAATGCAGGCGAACGTATTATTTAATGATAATTGCTATAATTATTGATAATTAGTATAACAAAATACAGTTATTACATAATCTCGATGGAAATGTTGGCATATCCACCGAATTTATTTATTAGCTGCGTATGTAAGCAACGTTATACGTATGCGTTTTTAAAGTCTGGTAACAAGCTTGTCGAAATGTCATATAATACATGTCGTATTAATAAATCGTATCAAAGAAATTTAACGAGGCAAAATTCAGTGCATATTAGACATAATTTCATCGCTCTAATTAAACGTTGACGTCAACCTGAACAAGCATTGAGGTAATACGAATAAAATTAGAACGGAAAAGTTACCTCACGCGGTCTCACATGCTTTGCCAAAATCCATGTTATTCTCACATGCCGCGACGCACAATCTATTTTTATTTTCTTCTAAATCAAATGGCGACAGTTGGAATTAAGCGAGAGACTTGAAAATTACTAATTTGCACTTTAATTAAATGCAACTAATTATAATGCAACTAATTATGTAGTTTAGCAGCTTAACGTTATTAAACTGAAATAAAGTTATTAACGTTAGTTAATTAATGTAAACAGTTTTATCACAGTAATAGCTGTCCAACGATCATTTTAAGAGTTTAATAACTAAATTAAGACACAGCTTAATAATTGAATTAAATGAGCAACTTTCAGAATATTAAACGTTTCGCTCTTCGTATTGAGAGGAGCCATTCATTTTGTCCGTTTCCGTGGTATAAACTATCCGTCTGTCTGGCTTAATCAGACAAGGCAGACAAGTTGACTCGTGCGAGGCCGGTCGTCAGTGCCGAAAGACTGGGCAATCTCTCTCCGGAGCTACGCAACGTGGCCATTCGTTACTGGAGGGGGGCCCAGACGCGGCAGCTGTTTGCTCGCCGTGGAACGGATCGGGGGGTCGCTCTGGCATGTGTACCCCTTCAGTAATGCCGCATCGCTGGTGTTCGCAGCTCGCGCGAGCGACGCTGCGCGAGTTCGTGACATGTCGTGACGATTTTTGTGAGTGAAGGTCGCGGATCGTGCGAAAAAGAAAGGCAACCGTCGAGAGAAACCGTTTCGAGGGATAAGTGCCGCACGTCGGGGCCCGTGGGACGACTTCGCCACGCTGTGAAAATCAGCCCCTCCATGCCGGCAGATTCCGGAGTAAAGCAGCAACGGCTGGAAAAAGTGCGCGCGCACATGACGCCTTTCGAAGCTGTAGACCAGTCCGTCGGTAAATCGCTAAAAATCGATCTCGGTCCTGTGCGCGACACTTCGTCACGTATCGAACGTTTAACAGTTCGATCGTGTGTCAGATTGGAAAAAAAAATTCGGCGGCTTCTTGTCTCTCCGGAGTAACGTGCCTGTGATGACGATGGAAAAATGTCGAGCGACATCGCAGATCAATAGTGAAAGAGTTTCCAAATGATGGATCGATAGCGGAGGATACACATAGTGATCAAGAATTTAGTGATTAGTAGCAATTTAAAAAAGTTTAAAAAGGCATATTGTGCATCTATATTATACACATAATATTCAAATTATGAATATTTGTGCGGAAGCGACGTATCGTCAGGACGATTGGACGAAAGTCGCGAGGACTCTAATGGGCAAACGGCATCCGAGAGACAACGCCATCCTCATCACGAAATGTGACTCTCGATGTCACGCTTAAGAATGGGTCCAGCCGCATGGAATTCGTTCTGTGATAGTCAGGTAGCCTGCGTGCCGATGCATATATGCGTGGCAACTTTTCTCCTCGGAAAGCACGACGAGGGGTGCCCTAGCGGGGGGACGTTTGCTTTGATCCCGATCGGCTTGCCAGTGACGGTATTCGAGCGGCAAACGGTGAACGGACGCATGTATGTACGTCCTTGCAGGGCTAGCCTCGCAACCGCGTGAGAGCATTGCATAACCATAACCGACACGTTTGCCGATACTGTTCGCGAGAATCTCAGGGGCTCCACGACGGCGATTGTTGCTTAAGATTTTACCCGCGATGGCGACGTTAGATTACAACATTGCGTCTGTACGACTCCTCCGTATGACATTTACACGGACTTTTCTCACAAACAGAAGTGTTCTTAACAAATAGGAGTGCCTCTAGAGTGTGTGATATTATCTCTAAAAGCTTCCTGCAACTTTCTATGTATGAGACAAATTTTTATCACTGTGAATTTAAACGTTAAAAAACAAATTTTTATCACTGTGAATTTAAACGTTAAAAAACGGTAACGCTTGTTGTCTAGCTCTCTGGCCGAATACAGAATACAAAAAAATAGTACGTTATAAAGTTATTTCATTTAAAAAAACGAAAGTGTGTAAAGGACAAATAAAAATTGACAAAGCCAAATATCATTATATAACAAAAGCAGAGAAATTTATATTATATTTCAAATAAAAAGAAGCAAAAACCGCGCATATAGATAGTTGCATAGTTGTAGAATAGAATCGAAACAAAAATATTTAAAACTTAAAATCCTGTAACGCGCAAAAATGGTAACTCGGTTATAGCGTATATCTTCTTCAACGTAAGGAAGTGGCGTCAAAGAACCGTGACTCCTCATTACAGGAAGTAAATTGTCGTCTATCAGGACAGAGACCGATAACGAGGACAACGCTCTGAAGGGGTAAACAACCGTCCGTAACGAAGTAGGAAAATGAGTTAGGACTTACTCGCGAATCGTTCCGCTTTTAAGAGGCGGACTCGGAGTTGACGTCTTCTATAAAGAGATCGATGCATCGTGATAACAATCGTGTGACTTACGCGGAAGTACGGGAGAAGACGAATGAGAAGGAAAGGAAAATAGAAAAAAGAGACACACTGTCAGGATGATTAATGCGACGTCCGTTGAAAGAAGAACGTCCAAGCGGAAGTTCTTTCCCGTCCTTTCCTTATCCGATTTTTTTTTCTCGAATTACGCGCTTATAGATGTTCTTTTAATTTGAAATATTGATTGGTTATTGGAGAGTCAAAGAATCTGCTGCCTCAGATCGAGATTATCTGACAATTCATTTGGTTCCGGATTATAATTACCCTATTAACATCCCAGTCGATCTGTAATTCCCTCGTTAGCTTCTAATGAGCTCCAATCTGGACTGCCAGAGAGCGGCCAATTTTTGCCCCTTCCAATCGATTAGAGAAGGCTCGAACGTCCACGCTTTCGCGAGAAACAGGCTGGCACGAGCCGTGGAAGAATATTTTAGTCAATCATCACTCTGTGAATAACACGCTGATGAATTTTTCAGTCGGAGAAAGCCGAGCTCGCGATACGACGTGGAGCGGCGTATAAAAATCTGGAGTAAAACGCTTGAAAATTATTACATTTATCCGATACGAACGCAATCGCGTCTCGACATGAATGATTCTTTATTCGAATCTCCGATATCGTATCGATTTCTTTCTTCTGATACAGATATCGATATCAAACATCACTATCTTCTTGAAATGTAGGTTCGAGGAGTTGCGAAAAGTTGAACTCGTGCTTAATTTCTCTGGCGTATTCATTGCTGGGAACAATCGCTCTATTGTATGTTCGATGCTGGTTAAGCCAGCACTGCGAGCAGCGATCTTGTCATTGATCTTGGTGCACCTACACTTCGCTGTCATCAAGATCTTAACGACTAACGGACGACAGCAATAAATTTGATTGGTCCGGTAAATTGTCCGAGGAGGAAGAGGCCTTGTTCCGTCCACTTCTTCGTAATGGCCAATTGTCGCATAGCGGAATCGAGCGAGTACGTGGCCCTAAGTAAACAATAAAATCGTTTCAGAAACGACAGTCACGTAGCGACCACGTCTCGTCGTTTCATCGCAACACTCGTGATGCTAATCCCCTTTCATTGCTAACCGCTCTTTCGCTTCTCCCTAGCGTTTCGTGTAAATATTTATCAGTTTCGTTGCAAACGGGACAAGCCGGCGAAAATATTCTATCAGTCAGAGCTCGAAAACTCGGCACGTTGTGAATTAATTCACAGACTAATCGCATTAATATAATCACGTTTTAGGAGCTTCGGAGGAATAATCTCCGAAGCTTATATGCTGTATATAATTTATTGTAACGCGTATAATTCCCTCCTCGTCGTGCAATCCGAGAGAAAAATGTGCCGTTACGTTAGAGACAGTAGGATCAAACAAATGACGGTATCGATGATCTTTTTGCAGCTACCCAGCCAAAGAATTACTTTACGAGGAATTTACGGGGAATCGCAAATGTCGAAGCTTTAGCCTACCAAAGAGAAGCAGTAACGTGCCTTATTGCCGACAGCAATAACACATGTTATCAATAATTTATAAAACGAGCGATATGCGAAAAATGATCTCATCGCATTGAGAACATTCAGGCGTATCGAAACTCTCAAAAGGATCGGATATCTCGATAGGACATTGGAACCGTATATCAAGCGAATCCGTCGACCGTATATCGAACGATCCCCAGATGAAATTTCGCAAATCCGCCTCATCTAGCCCGAAGATGGAACTTCTCTCGAGGCGTTCCACGGGCGGCAGGATGTCGACTTTGAAGAGGTCGAGATCCTTCCGAGCGTCTGTGAAACTGATGTCGAAGATACGCAATCATGCGAACCTGCGATTGACCGCCGGCTTCGATCTCTCGTCCGTCTCGAAGGATCTCACCGTCAAGAAAGGGTGTGATCTCCCTGTTGTTGAGGAATCTCAGGACGGTGAGAAGCCCACGAGTCCGCGAAAAAATGTCAAGGATATGAATTCTCGCGACAAAATCGGCGGCGAGGCATTTCCGAGTCCTCGAAAGACCTCGGTATCGGATCGCGATGTCGGTCCGCGGGAAATCACTAAGGATCTGAAGAATAAGCTGTCTCTGACTGACAGGTTAATGGGCAAGGGTCGCAAGGACGTGGAGAGAGCCTCGACAAAGGACGAAGGGATGAAATCACCGAAAGTCAGTCACATTTTTCGCAGGAGACACAGTACGGAGGGCTCGCAGGAAGACACTCGAGATAAGAAATGTAGCGATAAACGTGCGTCCTGCGAGACGGACACGAGTCAACCGAGCAAACATGTATCCTATGAGAACCCCACGTTCGTGCTGGACAGTTCCTTGGACTCGTCCGTGTCGAGCTTCCTCTTTGAAGTCGAAGAGGAGGAGGAGGAGGAGGAAGAACAACGGCAGAAACAAGACGCCGAAAATGAGCGTGCTACGTCATCCAAGCGTGATGTCTTGACCATAGTCGTGGATCCCCACAAAGCCTCGGCTAATCGTAAAACAAACTACGAGCGAGACAAGGACGTGGGTGAGGAATATCTCGAGAACGGAGAATCACGAAACGCATTTCGTCCCAGATGTGAGACCGTTCCTTTGAGTCGTCCTTGCGATACGAGAAACGAGCATTCAAACATGGTAAACAGAAATCGAAGGACGACTGAGTCCTTCGGCGAATTTGATCGCTCGAGGATTAAATTTTATTGCAAGATACACGAGACGGAGAGAAAAAACGCAATGATCTGCCTGCAGAATCAGAAAATTCACGACAGCGTCAAGACATGTTCTTCGAAGTCCTGTAAAATCAGAACGGTCGACAATATCGCCAACTTTTGGACAAGCAGACGTGGCAATAGCTTTCGAAATAAAATGACGACCGGTAGGAAAAGAGACGCGAAGGAGACGAAGGATTACGAGCGGCTCGGTCAGGAGCGAGTTTTCATGCCATCGTCAGGATCAAGTACGCTGGATCAATAAGTTTTCCAATTAGTCAGCGGCGCGCCAGATGCAATTAAGCACTTCGTAGGAAGTTATTTCAAGTTTCCGCGGCAAAATATCGGTTTAGCACTTTTCTTTACGGTGATGAAAAAAAAGAGGTCCAAATCCTATCTGATAAAATAACGCATTTAACTTTAATTGCCACGTTTTCACGCTGAAAAAATTAATAATTATCGAGGAGAGATAGAAGAAGAAAGTATGTTTAACATGAAATAAAACGGTGAAGCATTAACATTCTAGAACATCGCTGACACGTGGGAAAAATTTCTAGTCGTGAAAGTGGAGTAAAACGTATGAGTCGATTGTAATATAATGAGTAGAATAATTCAAGAAAGAAATAATGCAGGAAATATCTCTTTTTCATTTCTAAAATCGTTACTTTTTCTATGTCAAACACTTGAGACTTCATTACTTGTTTTACATTTACTTAAGGAGGTTCTACAGATACTCTCTAGTCAGTTGAGAGATGAAGAGAAAATCTTCAAATTCATCGGTTCTAAGTATTCATAAAATATTTTCGTGAATTTTGATGACGTTAGAGCTTATATCATACCCATATTAGTCAAAGCGAGGAATAATTAAAAATATCGTGTAAGTGCTCCTTTGACTCTGGCGGCTTATAATGGAAGAAAATGTGGTAACGTCGCGAACTTGACAGTTCTGCTCATATGACCACGGTTATTTCACAATTTCACATAATTCTAGAGCGAGTATTCTCCGTAAGCGCTCGTAAACGTTAGGTGCTTAAGTTTGAGGTGCTGTCATACTGTGGTGCTGTACTGGCTGTACACTTTTCGCGCGGGTGCAGTCGCTGCGACATTGCCAAATCTCCCTTGTTATTCGAAACACGCTACGTGAACTGTGATATGGCCTGTTTCAATAGCCAATATCACAAAATTTTACGCGATAACCCTTGTTTTTCTCGATATTTCTGAAAAGCTTAGATTAAGATCTATAAGAGCTCCGTTTTTTGAGCTTTGGTGGGTCGCCTTTATATAATTAATATCTCGTTTCCTGTCTCCAAGAGCCCCTCTGCCATATGTAGTTTATGTTAAAAACTGTGATTTCAAAATTCATTTTTGCAAATTTTTACACGGTAAACCGATGCTAAAATTTTTCGAGCACTTTTCTTGCATCTCAATTTACACGTCCATAAAGTTTTTTCCAATTTTTAGATACATCCATTATCTGTAGAACCTCCTTAAAAAATTATACCGATTAAAATAAATTATTATTATTATAACATCGTTATAAAAGACATATATATTTCCTCGATATGAAAGTCGTGAACTTAATAAATTACACAGATTTATCTTTCTCGAAGTATACATCAATTTCCTCTCGATTCCCTCAAAATTCTTTCGTTTTACGTTATGTATTTACCGCTTATTTATCCAATTCCATAATGTTTCGTTTATTTATTTGTTGTTTATTTATTTTGCTTTGTTTCTTCATGCGCACAGAGTTCCACTCGTTGCAAGGGATGGAGTTCCTGGAGGGTTTCGGCAAGAAGAAACAACAGCCCCACCAACAACTAAATAATCTATCGTCAATACATATCAATCCTCTCTCGGCCCAATCCCTCAACATACACCTGCATGGTATTTTATTTTTATCGATTTTTTTTATTTTTAATTTCTTAAAGCGTCTCTTCGTTTTCGCCGAACTTACTCTTGCCAATTTTACGTGCAATTAGAAATAACCTTGATGTTGTTATCGTTTTATTTTTAGCCCTATTTGCGGCTGTGGAACATGGTCACTTGGATAAAGCGAGGACTATTTTGGAATCTACCGATGTCGACGTAAATAGGTGAGTAGCTATTTGTATCATATATGTACGCAATTAAGATGATTGGGCGATAAAAAGGGAAAAAAGACTGATGAATTGGCGAAATGATACGATGTTATTTGATACTTCCAGATATTTCATATCACTGAATAATCTATATATACATAAATCGTTGAATTTACGCGCTAAAAAAAATTAAATGTTATTCTTCAAACTCGAGGTACGGATTTTTGATCTCGCGATACTCAAAGGATCCAACCGCGATCCCGTTTTCCCTCGAAATAGTCTACGCGTGACCTAGAAGATCTTCGTTCACACGCAATACACGTTACTTGGAGGGTCTTTAATCTAATATACGAGCTGAAACTTTCGAGGTGCACTGCTACAGAAGCAGTCAATCGCGCTATTAGGAATTGTTCGACCGGCGTAGAATCAACTTCTTGATTCGATTCGACGTGTAACTCAGGAGATCTTAAGAGATTATATTCGCTATATATCCTGGGTGCAGACTATCATGTGCAAAAAATAATCGTCCGAGTTGCGTTCAAGCTTTTACGTTTCCCCCTTCGCATCCGAGAGGAATTGAAACGAAGAAGATTGTCGTGGGACAATCGGATGGATAAAATAAAAATTTCCTCACGCGCTCCAATTGTTCCTCGCGGCCCGTATAATTATTTCTCAGCCGTGTCTGAAAGCTGAGTCGTTAGCATTTTTTACGGCAGACTAATTTCGTTTTCAGCCAGAGCGTGTTAAATTACGTTGCAGGGTTCTTCGTGAATGTAAAATGAGCCTCAAATTTCGGCGGAACAAGTGGAATATCTTTAAACCGGCGGGCACACAAAGGGTGTTTCGTTACATTATAACGCTTCCGAAAGCTTTTCATAGCCGGCCGCGCATGGTAATTACGGATAATAGGTAGCCGTTCGCTTCTATTTCCGGCGAGCAATTCGGCAGCTATTTGTCGTCCCAGGATATATTATACTAGAGATATACAGTAGAAGCTTTCGGTTCATTCCCTCAGTGAATACAACCACGCGTTGGCTGTCGATAAACAAATTAACGAATTAAACAAGGTTTCGGTGCCAATTTAGGCGACCGATTTAACGTGTGGAACAAACGAACTGATTTAATTGAAAGAAGTTCACGTAACTGTCATGGTTATTTAAATTTTTATGAACTAAAATTTACTGATGGGAATAAAAATGGATTTAATTTGGATGATTTTAACGCTCAGTACAATACAGTGTTTTGTACTGAGATAGTTGAACCAAAATTATATCGGATTGTCGAAATTGAACGTTAGACAGAAAAAATAAATCTGAATCTTAAAAATTCCAAAGTCACGTTAATCATAGAATACTGGAAATAAGATTCTACAGTAACATTAATCAAAAAAAAGTATAAACTGTTATAAGTTATAAATAACGGGTTTTCAACAACTGATTTCATTTTGCACAACATATTCAACAGTAGTTTATATCGGAGATAAAAATTCCAAGAATTGTCAGTTATATACCTCTTTTTTCTGCATAATGTACTTTATTCAAACATATCAATTGAAGACAGGCGGATCCGAAGATAGAACTAAAAAAATAATCCGTATAGGCAGCGGAAAAGTTACGAACTGCTCATTTCGCACGGTAGTTGTAACAACGCAATTCAAATTCCCGTTGCAAACGAAAAGTCGATAGATGACGTAAAACTGGGAAATTCATTTAGCCAGCATTTATCCCCGACTATTTTATATCGTTAACGTTTATTTGATGTCCCCCGCTTTTACGCATCAAAGTAGTCCGAGGTAAAGTAGGCGAAAGTAATTAAATGTTTCAGAGTGAATCTCATTAATCCCACGATTTTCCGCTTGGACGTAGCGAAATTTTTCCGCAAGTCGTAAAAAGAAATACACTCAAATTGGAAAATACAATCGGGATGGCACCGATTTGTAATTCAAGCAGGAAGTCCATACTTATGTGGCACTTATATGTGCCTACACTCATGTGTGGGTTTTTATCGACCTTTTAAGTGTCACATAAATATTATTTATTAACGGCAATTTCCCCGAAGTCATGATTCCAACGGAAATCTCGTCTTAACTTGATATACGGACTCAATGGCTAAAATTTTTCGGTTTTACTTTTATACAACGCCGAATAAAGCGACGCAAAAGTTGAAATCAAGTTAGACAATGTTTAATGTTGCGTAAAGTTTATTATACACCGTGCTTTGGTACAATGTAAAGAAAAGAAGAAGAAAGTTTAGGACGTATAAACTGCGAGATAATCTCGAACGTTCTCATTTCGCCCCTTTCACAAAGGATCTGAAAGTAAACTTTACTACCGGCCCTATATATTATTTGCAATTTATCGTCATTTACAGCGTTAACAGCGACGGCTTGTCACCGCTGGACGTTGCTGTGCTTAGCAACAACAGGCCGCTGGCAAAAATGCTGGTTGCATTCGGCGCGCAGGAAGGGAACCAATGTAAGTACAATCGAATCCAATTACAAACTTCGCGCGGCGTAGCAGGGAACTTCGTTACGCCCGTGACGAATCTCGTTGATCCGTACCTCTTCCCGTGAGATTCGCTTTTCCGCTTTCCCGCGAAATAATCGCTCTTTCTCTCTCTTTCTCTCTCTCTCTCTTTTCGCCGCGCAAAAAATCCAAGAAAATCGGCAGTCCGCGGGAGATTCCAATTAGGATTCCGTAGTCTCTAATAAAAATGCCGTCGAGCTTTATTGCATCGCGACGAATAAATATAAAAGCGGGAATGCGAAATGCGCAATAAAACAAAAAGAAAAAAAAAGAAAAAAACGGAGAGTCCTGGACGCGGCGCTGCGCTTTTTCCGCGACGTTTTTAATAATATCCCCCTTTGTCCGGTATATCGAGCTCCGGCGTAATTACGATCGAACGCGAGCCACGTACGAGGTAGTGGAATTGTAAAGTCGATGGCGGTATCTAAACATTTCTCAACGCTCGCTCTTGTACTCCGTCAAGTCGGATGGTGCACGAGCTGTAAGTGCGAGCGAGCGACTCTTTTTCATCCGTTTGGATTGTTTGGAACATGCTGCACGTGAAAAAAAATACTGCGATGAATACCCGAGCTTTCTCATCAACTTTCGTAATGATTGCCGCGACGAGACTCCGAAACATCGGGCCATATCCGCGATAGCTGGAATCGAATTTCCAGCGATGTGCGAGAAATTACCGTGTCGCCGAACACCTCGATCTCGATTGCGTTTCACCGGGACAGTGTTGGGATAAAAGTTCAGAAAGATAAATTTCTCTTAATGTGCCGTCAAGCGAGTCCGGGGAATCCCGCGTTAAAGTCAGCAACTTGAGCTCCATTCGTCTTTGCGAACGTTCCTCGCGTCTTAATTTGTCCCGTTACGCTCGTTAGCGCTTCTACGGTGCCACTCGTTAAGACACCGAGTCTTCGAAAATGAAATATAGAACAAGGAGGACACCTCTTCCGAACTAATTTTCCGCGAGATATCCGCGACGGACTCCTGGTAAACATTCCCGGATAGGATATAACTCGAGATTCAACTTGCTTGACTCAACTGACGTGAACGATACGAGGATTCGACGGGGTGCGTTTTGAGTAATTTCTTGAGCGTGACTTTTTTATTGATTTCCGCATCCGCGCTGAGAGAAGTAATTGCAATTGTAACCAGGCCCCTAATTAATCGCGGCAAAACCGTCTCTTGCAAAGAGACGTACAAAATATCACGACAACGCTGCAGCTATCGATCGCACGAAATAGCTAATACGCTAATTAGTGTAATATAATCGCGCGTGGGTCAATACGTAGGTGGCAACAATCCCCGTGCCTCGTAATATAATCAATTCCATTCAGATATTTATAATTAAAACGCGAAGCCTGCTTTAAATGTAATTCAAATTAATCATAACGCATACATTCGTGCATTCTAATGCATTATTCGACTGTGAATTCGATAGCCTCGTATGTACGTTCGATATTCTGTTGACGCAGTCAAGTCACCGGAATCTCTGGGTAGCCACTTGGCGTCATTGCTCTCGGAAGCGGAACACAGAGTTCAGGAGCTCGGGGGCAGTACTTCCGGCAGCGGTGGGTCAATTTTGTTGGAACCGCCTAGCAGTCACAGGGCCAGTTTTTCCACGCAACATAACAATCTCACGGGATGCGGCGGTAGCACGGAGGATAAGCAACTTTCTCTGTGGGAAAGGAGAGCCAGGGCCCTCAGGAAAATGCTGCTGGGTTTCGATCAAGCGCGTAAGTTCAATAGATTCAGAGCCAGTTTCACCAACCACGGTTAGCTTAACCGACGGTTAAAGTAAGCAGGGTGGATTCATTTCTATTGGTCAATCCTGCTAACTTTAACCGTCGGTTAAGTTAACCGTGGTTAGTGAAATTGGCTCTCAATCTATTAATCTAACTTGTACGGCTATCACCTTTTTAAAAGGATAAATTTACAACAAATACTTTTGTATTAAAATAAAAATCTTTTATTTCAGGCCCACCCGACATGCCTTTCTTAGTCGCGGTCGACGTCACCGGAACGACATCGATAACAGTCAGGTTTCAAGAACCGGACTCGCACGACTCTCCGATCTGTACCAAGTTCAAGGTCCAATGGAGCCTGCACGAGGACTTTTCGGTTATATGCGGCGAGAGGGAAGTCCTGGACATGAAGCAGAGAGAGTGTCGGATCGAGGATCTGACTCAAGGGCAAAAATATCACTTTCGCGCCGCCGCCGGAAATTTAAAGGGTTACAGCAGGTTCATGAATTCGACGCCCGCACACGTTACACCTAGCAGTAAGTACCATACTTAAGCATAGCACGTTCAAATTTAACATTCTCAATTTAACATAAATTTACGATGACTCGAAGGTTGGAGGGACATAGACGGCAGGGTGCCCAGATTCGCGGGGCGACTGGAAGAGCTGAACACTCTGTTCACCGATATCAGGCGACCGGAGTATACGCAAGAAACGCCGGCGGTGCAGAGGCGAAATCACAAAAAGAAAACAACGATAAAACAGCTCTTCACGGCGACGAGTAAATTCCAGAAGAATCTCAGACGAGGAGTGTTTCTAGCGTGTCTACTGTACCACGAGGACAAAGTTCTCGTTACAAACGAGGACTTCTTGCCCGTGATCGAAATCGACGAGACGTATCCCAGTTGCATATACAACGATTTTCATTGGCTCATGAAAGTCGCGTGCACCTGGGACGATGTTAAATCCCTTCGGCAAGATATGGAGAAGAGTCACAGCAGCTCGACTAATCACTTTAGGATAAAGTTGCTTCAAGCTGCTGCTCAAATGCAGGTAACGTTGTACATTGTTTATTAAAAATACTGAACTTTTATTTAGCCCAATTACTCAAGCTTGTATTGCTCACTCAAAAATATAGAGAAGAACATCTTACGATATTCCATTTGATGTATTTTGCAGGCTGCCCTGGGCATACAGGACCTTGGACAATTGTATCATAAACCTATCAGAGACATTCAAGGCACCTTAGTGTTCTCGACAGTAAATTATATAAAGTCGCCGAAATTGGTTTCTGTATTAAACAGCAGGTGGCTGCCGCTCAGTAAAGTTATAAAGAAGGTCATAACGCACGAGGATAGTAACGTCGGCGATATCTTGATGACCAGCATACAAGAGCAAATGACATATCACCAAGTCAGTGGTATCAAACTACCTAATGGTTTATATCTCGCTTACCTAAAAATGCAAAGCAGCGTGGACCTCATACAACTCGTTGTCCCGACGAAATCTCCAAACGTATTGCCGCATTGCAAGATTCGTGACAATTCGCACGTGTCCGCGTAAGTTTACGTTCATTAAAACGCAAAATATACCAGTAATTCAGTGTCACGGCTATCTATTGTATTATCGTGCTTTCGCTTTCATCTGTTCAAGGGAGGAGTGGGACTATCTCAAGCGAGTGCCGCGCATCTGCACGTCCGAGACTTCCGTGAAGGAATCCGAGGAGAAGGAGAACGTGACGAACGAGGCGCAAGGCACGGAACAACAAAAGCTGTTTGTCGATCAGATCGCCGCGACAGCGCGACGACTGTTCAATTACATGGAGATCAGTCCGGAGGATTCGCTGGTGCATCGATTATACGACGCCGAGGTGATCGAGCTGACTCACGACGTGTCGTTCCTGATCGTCGTGCCACCCGCCGAAACCGCCTGCTGCGTACCTGGCACGCGAGAGATTCTGCTACAACGTGGCGATCTTTTGTCGTTGCCTATTCCTGTCTTCGAGATGGTCTACCTGAATACGTATCAGAAGGATGTAATCAATCGTTACTCCAGACTCAGCTGCATCTTGGAACTGGACACCGCGCAGGCCCAGCATAATCACCGAGAGGCCTTTAGTTCCTTGGAGTTGAGCGTCGCGAAGGACAAACTGGCGAGATTGCAGGATCTACAGTTGCAAGTAAACAGCGTGTGGAAAAGCGCCAGGTGGCTGATCGACGTTATAACTTTCGCGAGAGATCGCGGCTCCTCACAACAAAACGTAATTATTATTGCTTTCTGTAATCGTATCCTACAATACCTGTCTTATAATTTTAGCTTACACTTCTGATTTTATCGTTTAATTAATATACGATATTTTCTCGCAGATCGCGTCGCAAACCATTGGGATATCTATGAAGCACCTGTTCAGTCTCGACAGAAATAAAAACAGCAACAGTAACAGCTTGAAACGAAGTTTGTTACAATTACCACCTAGAGATCCTAAGCTCGTGAAATCGAGTCCCGGCCGTGGCAGCTGGCCGGGTCCCAATCTGTCGAAATCGTCCTCCAATCTTCTCACGACAGAATTCAGCAAGAGCGAGCAACAGCTGCCCAGCGGGCAACACGTGCGCAAAGGTAGCAACACCTCGACAACCTCGGAGCCGCAGAAATCGTCGTGCGCACCGATAAGCAGCAACAGCAATCTGAGCACTCTGACGACTACCAGCAGCGTGAATCATCTGATACCGCTGCAGAACGTGAGACTGCCGCCCTCCAAGTCCGAGGACACCCTGATCCTCGCCAAGTACAAACACAGCCCGCGAAATCGTTCCGCTACGATAACGTCGGCGTCGGCCACCACCAGTCCGTTACTGAGTATAAAGCCCATGATTTATACCGGCTCGTTACTGAGCGTCTCCACGGCGATGACGAACACCACGAGTCTGCTTAGTGTGAGCAACACGAATTCCGACAGTCTACACTCGCTGAGCAGTGACGAGTACTCCGCGACGAATTCGAGCGTGTGCTTGAAACCCGGCCAGCCGGGGATCAAGGTCAAAACGTCCAAGCCGACCGCGAGTGTCGCGGCGATGGCCGCCGTTCCGACGGATAATCTAGACGAGGAGAAGGAAGAAACGACTATGATGCCACCTCTGCCAGGCATTCTTCAGGTACGGCCTTTAATTTTGTGCTATTTAACGCGTAAAATTTTTTCCTCATAACATCATCACTATCATAATAGTTACGACGTTTCGAATAGTTTAATTTTCAGCGACATTAAAATCCCCCTGGACTCGCGACATGCGGTCTTTAAATGATATTTTTCCTTCCTAGGGAACACAAGTCTAACCCGATTATAATTAAAAAACAGCTCACTTGGTCCTCTAAAGTGCAAAGTGATGTAGTGGACACATTGAGTAAGCCGTCACACCGTTAAATTTCAACGCTTGCTCTGCTCGATTATGCTTAAATATTATGCTTAATGTGCCAAAATCAGTACGGCATGAGAGATTTATTATGATCGTTTTATACTTTGTATCTAATAGCTATTTTGAAAATAAACTATGTCTGTATGTAATGTGTTATAACAGTATGACGTCGTGTCAAAGGGTATTGCATACAAATTATTAATAACATATACCTGAGTTTTATGGTACTAACGTGTTGTATATAATTATGTATTTTTGCGGCTTGGATATCTATTTTTTTCAGTGTTTGTCTAAACACAAAGTGTGTCTATGAGATTAAGAAGCTAAGTGAATTACAAGAAAGTGCTAACTTTGAAAAAGCAAAATGTTTAATAGACTTTGAAAAGCTTGATAAATATTGTTTTGTGAATAATGAAAATGCTGAATAATCTTTTATGACATTTTGCTTGTTCTTTTATTCACTGAGTATTGAAATCTTTCAGACACACCATGTATATTACGCATAAGCTTTTATACATCGATATAACATTTTTATGCGATTTCAGTCGTATAATTTTATTGATTCTAAATTATGTACACATTTATAGATACACTTGTTCCTTACTCGAAACTGCTGCATTTTGCTAATTGAATCTTTTTATCATGTGACTTATATACCATTTGCCAAACATAAAAGATACATCTTTTAATGCTATTGCAGGTTTACGCGGCCTACGAGACCGGTTTGGCAGCTGGTACCAGCTTGAAGCTACACGTAACACCAAGGACTACGGCGCGGGAAGTCGTGGATCTGGTCGTTAAACAACTGAACATGGCAGTGGTTCTAAAAGGGCTAAAGGGGCCCACCTACACGGCCGACGAGCTACCAAACTTTTGTCTAGTTGCCGTAATCGGTGCGCGAGAGCGTTGCTTAAGGGACGATTTTAAACCGCTTCACCTGCAGAATCCGTGGAAGAAGGGACGGCTGTACGTTAGGCAAAAGCAGGATGTTCTTGCTGCTCTTGAGCACAGCAGTAAACACACCGCATACTTATAACAGAAGTAAAGCCGCGGTAATTTTTAAGCGAATAATAATCTACCGAATAATGTAAATTGAATTTCAGTACGTCCTATACGTGTAAACGTAACGTTCCCTGATAACGACATTTCGCATAAAGCATCCTAGTCGTACATCTTCAATAAACGGCACTACCAACAAACAAAATGTTTTAATGAACAGCGACTACCTAAAGAAAAATTCATACAACGCCTCACGAACCGAGAGCTACTTCCCTTGTGAATTACTCTTCCAATTTTATTCTTCGATATTCTTGAACGAATGTGACTTCGTGAGATCTGGTCACTACGTGTGAAAAACAAGTTGTATATTCAAAATTATTTTACTGGGGAAAAAGAATGCTTGGCCTCTTATATAAATGACATGTTAGTCTTAAAAAATTCAATAATTATTTTAAACATTGCTTATTAAAGTGTCTATCTTCTACTCTTTACTTTTTATAAACGAAATGATATTGTTTTCGTGAGAGAAATTTAGATTTTTTTTGTCGACGCAATTATATTCTGGTCTAATTTTATTGTTATACGTAGATTTACGCGCTTTAGGATGTTCAATAGCCGCTGAGAGAAACACGAAAGAAAAATATTAAATAATTAAAATATATTGATGCTTCTCCATATGGACAATTAATCACTGATTATGAAACGTCGCGACGTAACCTCGAGGGATCGTTACGTAAGTGTGATAAGTACCAGTGAAAAAAGAAGTCTGTTTTATTTTATTAGGCTTGCACATTCCGACTCGGGAATTCAAGCATCGATCTGTAATATTCTTCGAATGTTAGTTAGTTTGTAAATGAATAATACTTGAAATATACTGTTATATTTTATGTACCGATCTCAATGTTTTATTCGATATGCGTATTATCAAGAGCCAAGTATAAGCTGTTTTTGAGAGATCTCATTATTCCTTTGCAATTCGTTGTGTCCAAGCATACTTCATCATTGCGAAATCAGTGAAGGCTTTTAGCGCATAAGACAAATGTAACAGAAGAATACTTGGATACTTCGAGTCAGTAAGGATATCTTTTTGAAGTCAGTAAAAGTTTTATATTTATACTATTAAAATTATAAAATATCTGTAAAGGAATATTTTACGTTCTAATGTATGACAAAGTTATCGATGATGATTACACATGACACACTTTCTGCTTGACTAGATCCATGTTACCAGGCTCAGAAATAGGAAATAAAATGATTTCACGTGCGATTTTTCGATGCGTGTCGATCCGACGCAGTGTACTTTTTTTAAATATTCAAAATAGAATAATAAATAAAGAATGAAAAGTTCCTAAAGTCTGGTAGCATCATCTAAAAATGGCTTAGAGTAATAAGTATATTTTTTAGGAAAGGCCCGACAAATTTTGTTAATAAAAACGATGTAAGAGAGAAATTCTATAGAACGAAAGGAGAAAAGAATAAAAAGGTTAATCTAAGATTTTAATTGAAAAATATTTTAAATCTAAAGCGGCGAGTAACGTCTAAACCAGTTTTATGGTTAGTTATTAGTATAGTTAGGACGAAGAGGCTTATAGACTATTGTACATAACAGAACAAAGAGTATTATTAATCTACTATTACTTCAAAAATAACAAATAAGTTGTAGTTTCTTTGTTTTGATTTTTAATTTCTGTTTTACTGTGACGCATATAGAGATACGTTATTTGTTTTATTACAAAATGTTTACACGCGTTTTGTATATCCAAATATACATTTATTTTATCTCGTTTTAAAATCGTATGGTAAAGAGAAATTTGGCATAAGCCTCGGATCAGATTTACCTTGAAAAATTTATTAAAAAAAAGTCTAATCAAAAAGAATTAACTTTCACGTTATTGTAAACAGCGCATTTAGCAAAATTTTTAAAGAATGTAGTTGATACGTCGCGTATAGGTAAATTGTACCCGATTGCATCCGATTAGAAGAGGACGACGGTACGGCAGTCGACGTATTAACCGATTGGATAAGTATCATAATGTAGAGTGGTTTGCTGAATATTACCCCAGCCGCACAATATTACTGCACAATATTATCACGCGACGAACTTCCCAAACGATCGCGTTGCACATTTCGTATTCAATCTTATCAACAAGATTAACTAGCGCAGCATATAACACTTATATGTAGCCATTCGACTAACAGCGAAGAGAATAATGTGTTAAAAAAAAAAAGGAATCTCTTTTCGGCTATCCGGATAGTAAGAAGGTAGCACGAGTGACAAAGTGAAGCGAAGATAAAGAAACGCATGTGCGTAACGTATGTCTGTGTGCGTGTTGTCGGTTGTAAATCCATATTTCTCTTACTTTGCCCGCCGAAAGCCTGCGTAATATCGATCTGTCAAGCGAAGAGCCCTAATCTCGAATGCCCGTGCAGGTATTTATCGTGAAATCCGTCCTTCACGTCGCAGATCCGATTTGGCTGTATATTCGAAGACCCTCCCTCGAATATTGACGCTTATTGAGCAGTAGTATCGTGCACCAAGGGGCCACCTGCGTTTAGCGAGGATGGTGCACATATTTTTTTATCGACAAAGTAGCAAAAGATCGAATAAATTGTTAAGCGGGCAGAGCGAGTCTCGCTGGCTGCATACGTAAGTTCGTGCACCGCGAAATCCGCCGATGTCGCAGAAAGAAAAACCGACACGGGAATTACAATTCGCAGTAAGCTTCGTAACCACCAAGCTGATTGGTACTTTAACAAAAATGCTAGCGGTGTATTGATTTAATTGTGCAGTCCGTACCCTCTGCCTCGTCTTCGTTATCTTTGCCTATAGACGCACGATCGTTGAGAGCCAACGGGCACCCGCGCTCATTTCCGTTTGATCGAGAAGACGATAGAAATTTTATTAGTACTACATGAGTGTCTATCGATGTTGAATGTAAAAATAACCCTTAGCATATAAATATTACGACGATGGAAGAGCAAGAGGCACGCCGAGCCAACGAAGGTGGCTGAAATATTTGTAAATATTTCGAGGAGAAGGAGCGACCGCACGCACAAGGAAACTAGAGGGAGAGATTACTTCGAACGTGAGAGAGAACGCGGAGGAAAAAAAATTCTCGTTTCTACGATCCACTCATCACGATGTAATTATAGTTGTGCCTACGCGACGGCGATGTGAGTTAATTAGTCGATATCCGAACGACGACTTCTCGCGCCCCGAACCCTTTTGCTTCCCCCCCCCCCCCCCTCCCATTCCCGTCCCTCCCCCGTGTCCAGAAACAGAGATCACTCGGACGCGTATGCTTCGTAAAAAGAGCGATGTAACGCGCGCGCGAGTAAATTATGTACAGTAGCGAATTGGTGTTTGTATAGAAGAGATGGCTTCGTTTCTGTTGCGACTGAGTTCTTCCCCCGTTTTTTCAGCAGGGGACAATGTACTACGACGGAAACGCACGAAATAAAGTATAATATTGTATTTGTCTCGAGAAAATTTATTCGTACGACCTTAGCCCGGTTGGAAGACCGATGGGCGCGACGACCATTCCTATTTCCTTTTACCTTTGTAAATCCTTTTACCGTGTAATTAATGAAAGTACAATATATAATTATTGAAACATAAAGCGAGAGGAAAGTCATCTGTGCGTTTTATAATTGAAAAAGAAAAGATTATATACGTTGTCGTAAAGTTCACTAATCTTTTTTTTTAACCTTATAGTTTATCAAACTAATCAACTACGTGAATTAAAAAGTAGAGAAAATTGATAAAGTTATAATCGTATGCTCTCTGGTATTAAATTTAAGAAATTTGCAAAAAGTTGATGTGATTAGTTTGAATTCTGAGAGGTTCGTTTATTATAGTATGTAGGTGTATGATTGATTAACGAACTATATAATTCTTTTCTTTCTCATAAAAGGACAAAAATCAAAATAGATTTACTGAGAAAAAAATGTTCTGGATTTTAGTAAATATTAGTTTGCATACAACTGTGACTCCATTTATTAAAATAAAGAAAATTTTCCTTTTTATTAGTATATTTTTTTCCTAGTGAATACACATATACTAATAAAAAGCAATTTTTTCTTTATTTTAGTAAATAAAGTCACAGTTGTATGCAAACTAATATTTACTAAAATCCAGAACAATTTTTTCTCAGTGTTAGTTTGCTTTCTGACAAGCTTATTTACAGCGTGTAAGTGTGCGTTTAATTAACGAACTATACAACTATTCTTTTTTTTACGAAAGGTAGAAATAAGAATAGGTACATTGGAAATTTTTCATATATTCCCACCGTCAATTCATATCTCTTCTGGAAGAACCTGTATCCGTTGGATACTATCCAATCCCACCCAGCATCATCACCTCCGGCGAATCAAACGCGCGAGCGAGACAAGAACCCGGACCCTCGGCGACCGATAGTCCTGCTGACCCACTTCCGTCTTGTTTCTCGTCTTGCCGCGAGAACCACCACCTACTCCTTACTTGTGTCCTCCCCACCTTAGGCACGATTCTATATTCTGCCCTTCCGGCGAATGTGCCGTGAATGAGTTTCCGCCGTTTGTAAATTTTTACGAACGACATCGACGTAAGACGAGAGTCTGATCATGGGACGAGAGCCGTGAAGGAACGTCGCGTTTGTCGAGAAGAAACGAGAGAAAGTCTCGGTAATCCAAACCACCGGCCGGTTGTTTATTACGTGATTGCGATAATAGTTAACGACGATAATTGTTAATAATTTACTCCGCGGCGCCGCTAATTGCGTCAGCGGAGCTGTCATACCGGAGCGAAATTTGACCTGGTCTGGCGGTCTACTTACTCAAGACTAGGGCGTGCGGAATAAAAAGAGAACCGCTCGAAAAAAAAAGAACCCTGCACCAACCATTGCAAAACGTTGCAGTTTTATCAGATCGAGGCTTGCTTTTGGCCGAGCAAAACCGGCGCTACGCCACTGCGGAAGTGCCAGCACGAATTTAACTGTGTTGCGGGTGTATGGTATATACGTATACAGTTAATGCTCATTGTCGCGAAAACACGGACAGCCGCGCGAGCGTACGCGATTGGCTGACCCGCAGTCCGGATTCGCCCTCGGCTGACCCCGTTGTTGACTGACCCACTGGCGAGATACTGATAGCGCGACGCTACACGATCACCGCGCGGAGTCAGTTTGCTTTGGCATTTAATTGCACGGCGTCACGAAAGAAAGACGCTTCGCACGACTGATAACGGTATTTTCGATTATCTTTTTTACACCTCGGGAAGTAGATAACGACCGATTATAAGCGTGTGGGTCAACGTAGGGACGATTCAAGTTCGAGATTCCCTGGCTGAGGAAATGCGTGCACTCAGAGGAAACAAAATAGTTCTGCAAACTACAATGTAATATATCATAAAGTCATGAGAACAGAAGTAGTTTTGAGAACTATATAATGTAAAAATTGTTATAAAAATAAATTATTTATAAATTAAAATACAGTCACGATACTAAATGTGACGTTGGATATTAACATTATTTCATTAGTTGTATGTAACTATTAAATAGTAATAAAATGACACAATAACTATAGTATACATAATTGTATAGATTTCATTACTAATAGGCTACGATAATTATATTCTTTCTTTAATTTACACAGGCAAAACATTTTTCTGATCAATTATTATATCGTAATAATAATTTTCTATAATTGTTCATACTATTTTTCTCTCCGAGCGTGATATCTTCTGCAATAAATTTCTTGATTATAGATCGTTTCTGTCGATTATAATTTTTTGAGTCATGAGAAAATTATAAGATGTCCATTAGTAATATTAAATTAATTATTAATATCATTTTGATCGTGCGAGAAGAGTAGAGCCGCGAGTATCAATCAAATTATTACGTCAACTCGTTCCGTTCAACACGACGGCTGTAGAAGCAGCTTTAACAAAGGGCCGCAATATCTTCTCTTTTCGCACGATTAAGTTGATATTAATAGCCAATTTAATATTACTATGTTAATATCGAGCAGTAACCATCGAGTGATTCAAAATGCAGCAATAACGTTTGCTAACTGACAAATTAATATTAGACCGGCGATCTGCCCGATGACCAAAATTGTCACACAAGTTTACTTATTCCACATTTCTTTCTTTTTTTTTACCTTTACAGCTTTTAATCCTTTCGAGATCGAACGATATTCGTCACAGTGCGATTGACGTGTCCTGCTGCACGCGGCGCATTCTGATGCAAGGCTGTGCACGGATTTGCAAAACAGATTTTATTAATGGCAATTTTGACGCAACGAGTCGGGCAACGGCACGCGGCTGAATATGCAACGAGCAACGCGAGTATCAATCAAATTATTACGCCAACTTGTTCCGCACGACGGCCGTAGGAACAACTCGCTGACACAATGGTCCGCGTTATACCCCCGCTCTGCGAAGTACAAAGTACAATACGTAGTTACACGTAAGGGTGGAACGTGATGGACCGCGCGCTTTATATACGTAGGGTCACACCTTTCAAGCGGAAAAATAAAGAATTTCTTCCTCTTCACCGGATATCCATCCCTTACAATTACATGGGAATATCATGATTAAATAAGAGATTTACGAATTCATCGCGTTCTCCGTGTCTGGCGGTAGCCCACTTTTCTACTGCGAGCCGCGCACCCTCCGGCGTCGCGCGGCCGCAAAGGCCCGCGAAGGCCCAGAAAACGCATCCGGCGACCGTGTGTCCCCTCTTCTCGCAGAACCGCCGCTCGTACTGTCCGGCTCATGCGTCGGGCTTTACACGGATCTCCCGGCCGTGCACGTGCATGTGCATAGCCGCGTTGCGAAAGAATTATGCGGGGCACAAGGTCCGACCGGCCGCTCGCCGGTCGAATTTTTACCAATCGAAGGTTACGTATATCGCGGCGAGTTGGATTTCTGCTGCACGCATACGCTACAATGCATATACCTCTCCTCTCTCCGCTCTTTCTCTTTACGTCCGCCGACTCCCTCGCCCTCCTCCGTTCTCCCGCTTTGTGACGCGGAGTTCACGATCGTGAGTCATATCCGCGCGAAGGAGTCAAGACCGAGTAGCCGGGGATGAGATTTCGCAAATTTTTCGCCGAGCGGATTCGTGCACGGTCGGCACAATGCGACCCTAAGATCGCCGCTAAAATATTTTATAATCGACTTGAATCGAACGAATTAAAGTTTCCTTTCGTGGTAATAAAAATTTATGTCACGTAGCATTTGAAAAGAGTGCACGGAAAGAATCGGACAGGTCGATCTACTTTCGTCCACCTCTTCCAATTCGATATTATTATTTATTTATGAACGGTAGCCTTCGATAATTGCAAGTTCCGCGAGTTACTGGATTTCGGTCGTCTCGGTCTTTATCGTCCACGTCCCCCTCCAGGCAAGAAGGTGAACAACGGCGACGAGGAGGACGACTCCAACAACGGCGAGGACGTCGACGACAAACGACCGGCACGACGCGGAGGAAGAAGAAAAGAGAGACGAGTGTTCGGTGAAGCCTACCGACCGGCTATTTGGAACACGGCCGATCAGTTCCTTCGGCGCCTTCGCACCGTGGACGTGGACACGCGGACGTCCTTTGTCGCCGATTTCGTACGCGCGCCTCTGTCCCGAACTGGGTGAAGACGAGACGTCGGGGAATCCCGCGAAAAATCGCGCGACGCGTCGTGTTTCCGAATCGATGACCGATCCGAAAGGATTAGAGCCGAGCTTTGTAAATCTGCTGCGAAGAAACGAAGTTGATCGGGAAAAATGTTTCGTGAGATAGTTCAGGACAGTTCATGATAAGGCCTGGAGTCGGTCGATTCGTCTCGTTAAAAGTATCCGGCACGAGTAAGTTTACAGTAACCGATGGTGCGAAGAGAAATTAAAAAGAGTGTGATATGCATTTTGATTTGTTACACGTTCGATTTGGATTACAAATAAAGTTACGTTTAAATTTTTTAATTTATAATAAATTTCAGAATGATCATGAAAAATATCTTCTTTGTTACTAGACAAATTTTTAATAAAAATTAATAAATACTTTTTTGACACCTAGTTTGAAAAGAACTGTATAATAAAAAAATTTTTTTTTCTCCAGACACATACCCGTATTACCTATGAGAAATATATAGTGTGATTAAGTTTACCGACCTAATTTTCGCGTTTGTATCTTTTTTCGTATCGGGCTGTATTTCTTCATAGAATTCGCTTTAGCAAACCAAGCAAGGAAGTTACGGAGTTTTGCCTTTTTCCGGTAAGGTCACCGGTAGGAAAGCTCGCCATATATTGCCATTAGTATAATTAACCCAGATTTTCCCGGATTTATGGTGAACGGCACGCGGGTCAGAGCCGCACACTGCACATTATAACAGACGGCCGACATGCCTTTAACTGCGAAGAAATAGCAAAAAATTGCATCGTTCAATTGCATAATGTTACCAGACTATAACTAATACCTGTCGTGTACAATTAATAACATAGTCATAATGAAAAAAAAATTTCAGTTAATTGTTTCAAAGTTATCGAAAAGTCTAAGTATATAGAGAGCCTGAAAGGTCAGACTAACAAATAATCATACATCGTGGCGCAGCAAGTTGTAACTATAATCATTATATTCGCGAGCATTAAGTCGTACCATCGTTGATTGGATTACCGGAGTCAATTAAAAGTCAAAGAAGACAGAAGCTAATTTAAAATTTTGATAAAAACGCGATTAAGAGAAAAAACGTTGAACACGTTGAACGTGCCTAAAAAGTTGCATGGATCGTGATACAATTGAGACGTGAAAATATAGTCTTCATCCGGGAGGAGAATCATTCTCGTGTACATATATAATATACATGACGCGGCGCTTAATATATTAACCGATACTGACAGTTATGTCCGGCGACGTTGCAAACATGATATGACGCTTATAGCCATCAAATGCGCTTCATGCTTTTCTTTAGTGCTGCTATTCAAAATCTGGCCTCCGCAGTTTTCAGTATACGCGTGCTACTTTTTTCAAGCGTGAAACGACGCTGTCTGATTAATAAATTTTATGCAGAATAACTGTTATGATCCAATGTGTTACGATCAATCTCATATCATTAATATGTTCGAGACATCATAGAGATTCAGTCGCAAACAATGTACAATTCTATTCAATGTACAAAGCTATTAATTAAAATAATAGAAAAATATTAAATATTAAAAGTATAATTTAAAATTAAATTAAATTAAATTAATAGAAAATACAGAACTTATGACATTATACTCGGGCTGAGATTGCAATCAGTTTAAATAAAATTCCAATATCGTTTTTTAAATCCCTATTAATACTGTTTCTCGTTACGTTTGCAATTACGTTTTGCAATTATCGCGAGATTACTGTTTGTTTAGGGAAGATATTCGACAATAACGCGAAACGATATCAGCAGTGGCACAATGTCGGAGGGTTGCACAAGTTGCAGAGGCGCGAATTATGCGAGTGGCACTTTGCAATTAGGCTCGACTGCCGGTGGCAATACCGGAAGCTCGTCGCCCACGTCTGGGACGACCTGTACAACTACAAGGAGAGTCCAGGTCCGAGCAAAAGTGTTATATGGCACGGGCAAAGCAATAGCGAACTTGCAAGCGCAGGAAAAAGCGGCCAGACACTGACGAGGTAATTCATAATAACCGTAATTAACTACATTAACTGCGATGAAATATGTGCACCATATACAATACCACCACCTTCCCGACAGGATAATGCTTTAATAATTTTTTCACTTCCTTAAGAATTATTCAAAGATTTTTTACGATTTTCAACTATATACTTCGTCAAACTTTACTAAGTTTACAATGAATAAAAGATAAATAAGAAACAGAATGGATTCAATTCTTTTAATTCAAAATTAAAGCATTATAGAAGTTCAACTTTTTTAAAACACATACGTAATATAATAATATATCATTATGAAAAAATTCGCAAATTTTAGCACATTAAAAGTAGTATCCTTGCGATAAATCAGTAGTTGAAAAATGTTTTAAAAAGAATTTAAAATTGTAGTACTGTAAAAGAGATGGTTATTACTCTAAAGAAAAAAGTTAATTTATTTCACATTGATTTTTTTGCTTCTTAATAACAAAAGTTACATAAAATCGTATAATCATATAACATTTAACGATACATGCTAAGAAAATATAATTTTTCGAAAGTCATTCAACTTGAGTGGAATGGATGTAAAAAATCTAATTCGACGATAACCGGATTAGTAGAAACATATTAGACTGTCAACGATCAACGGACGGCAGCGATCAATCGAGAAAATGTTAATCGTACGACACGCTGATTAGTAGTATAATCTCATACATTTCGACTTGTCTTCTCGCCGATATAATGAGTGTTCTGAATCCGTATCCAAGAAACCGTAAACACCGTAACACAATTATAGGAAGCTCGATCTTACGTCTTCCTGCCGCGCGATGCCCGAGCAAAGCGGAGTCTTCCCGTAACGAGATGATTAACAGCGGACAGTCGAAATAACGAGATAACGCGTCGGGGCGCCGCGGATAACAGTAAAAATACGCAAAAAACGACGATACCGGCATCGACGAACAAAAAGCAAAGCCCGGAGGCACCTCTTCCTCACGGATAAGACCAGTCGGTCGATCTGATCACCGGTTAGTACCTGGTTAACCGTCCTCGAGAAGGCCGCCGCCTCGATTCGACGATCCACGCGTATCTCCGTGTCATTTCTTTTTTAATTCTTCATCTTTTTCCCGTTTCTCGATCTTGCTCTCTACCGTTTCCGCGTCTTCGTTCGACACTTTACGATTTCGCGCTGCCGAGTATGCACCGCCGAATATTGTGAATGCAACCAGGGTCGTGTGTCGCAGGACAAAATGCACTTTGCAACTTTGTGAGTCGATATCGATAAGTGTTTTCGCCTGTTCCTGATACAAACCTACAAACATCCTTGACAAATCGCATCTAAAATGTACCCTAATCAGATTTGTAATCAAGATACTTGTCCGTTGTTTTTAAGCAACGCTTGTCGACGATGTTTGTAAATCTGTACTAAATTTAAAATTTTTAAATATTAGAGAAAATTTTTCTCTAATATTTGTGTAAATGTTAATTAAATTCTCGAATGCAATTTTGAATTAATATTAAAGATTTATAGGCATATAAATATTTTCGTTATAAACATACCTGCATGTTTCTACGATACATTCGCCGTCGAAAAATTCAAGAAAAGATCTCTCTCCAACGACTCAACAAGGTCAATATATAATATCTTTAGTCCATCGTGCCTTTGCTGTTCTACAATTCGCGATCCCGTTACGTCTCTCTCGATCCTAACGCCTCGCGATGCCGAGTTTCATTTAGTGAATGTTCGACTCATCCAGTCCTTCTTGTTCTTTTTTCCTTCTTTTTTTAAATTAATATCTCTCATTGTTACTGTTTTTAATTTGCTTCACTCGATCGTTTAGTTATTATACATGTCGATTTTCACACCTTATTAAATGTCGTATTTTATGATGATATAATATAGCAAAAATAGAATTATTTTTTAACGTCACAACGTTGCAAAATTCAATTTATCTAATTATATTTTGTTACAATAAGACTTCAAGTATTTATTTAAATCCTGTGATACACGGGAAAAGGAAGAGAAGGAGAACGCGCGTTGCGATAAACGGTATACCGCGGTACGTTGTATCATGAGTGTGAATGAAATACCCGTGTTTGATTATGCAGATTAGCACGCGATAAAGTCAATGTCACGAGTGGGGAAAAACGTGACATAAATGTCGCTTGAATGTTACTTTGAGCACGATCGATATCAGAAACTCGTGCACATATCAGTGAAAGTCAGATCGAAATGACATGCGAAATGCTTTGAAACACTAAAATATCCATCGATCCATAAATCGCTGATTTTTCTTGCCTAAAATTAGTCATCAGCAAAAATATAAATTTTATATCTAATGTTATCTTCGCGAGGCATACATGCACGTGTCACGTTTATATGTAATAAACAGTTGTTATTTTTGTCAGCCTCATCCTTTCTTCCCTCTCCTGCGCATTGTCATCGAAACCGAGGGAACCGAACGATAAACCAGAATCCTACACGAAAAGCCAAACGTCAAATCACGAAGTAAGAATTTCCGGCAAACACGAGCAATCGTTTTTCACATCAACAAACGCTCCAAGGAGGCGAGTAAATATTTCATCGCACTACAATTCTTTAACCCTACGGATCCAAGAAAGCAACGCAAATACTTCGTACCCTGTCGAAGCAGCGCGCTCGAAAGACGTACAGCAGTTGCTGGGGAAAAAGATAGAAGAGGTAGCAACGGATGTGTTACAGCCGAGAGATTCCGACGGAATCACGTACAATCCTGCGAAAGAGACAAATCAGACAGGAGATGGAACCCGACATGAATTTTTGAACGTCTCGCGCATTTCTGAAAACTCCGCAGTAACAGAACCGGTGGCGAGAGAAAAGAAAGATGAAGAAACCAAAAAGACGGAAGATAATCTCGAAGAGGGATCTTCGGCCGGATCGCTGAATAATGCGGGTGTCAAAACTAATATTTCGAAATTGTTGAGCAACGCGAAAAGTAACGCCCCGCAACAAGTAAAGTTTCTTCAAGAACGGAACGGTGGCGTGCAAACAAATAATGATTCTAATATCGGTGATATTTCGGTGACGAAGGCACACCCTGCTAAAAAATCGAACGACACCTCGACTCGAGCGACCGATGCGATCGCGGAAACGCAGAGCGCCGAATCGAAAGTCGGCAATCAAACTCTGAATGACGTCAATCAAGAGAACTGGGAATCCGAGGAAAACGGTCTGATGGAAGCTGCGAATTTTGGATTGCAAGCCATGCACGATCTTTATTATATTCAGGAGCCTAAATTATATTCGATGGGTAAGCGTTTAAAGAAAAATTCATTAATCCCCCGATTTTAATTTCAAATCTTCACGTACGAAACGAACATGCAGGTCTTTATCTGGAGAGCGATAATCCAGCGAGATACGTAGCGGCGTTTAACGATCAGTCGGAGGAAGCGAGAGACCTCGCGAGATTCGGATACGCGGCCCTTCAAGGTACTACTATGTTCTTAAAAAAGTAAGTTTCTAGTAAGTAACAATAAATTTCTAACGCTGAAATGAACACTCTTACGACTATTCCTATTCTGAACGTTTTGTCAGGTTTCCGAATACATCGTTGGAGTTACCTTTATCCCGAAGTAAGCCTACCCAAAGAACCTCGCTGGAACAACAATGTCCACGAAGGGACCCACCTCGATGTCCACGGGCTAGCTTAAGATACAGAACGTCTGACGGTAGCTGCAATAATCTGCAAAATCTCTGGTGGGGTTCCGCGATGTCTGCGATGCGGAGGTAAATATAAAATATAAACGATGCGCGAGAGATAAAAACATTTTAACAATCTCCGAACATAAAAGAAACAGAAACCTTCTCCTTTCAACTTCCGTGCTAAAAAATTTATCATCATACTCAGATTTCTTCCACCGGAATATGACGACGGCGTTCAGAGCATTAGGAGGGCGAAGAACGGAAGGGCGCTCCCAAGCGCACGAGACATCACGACTCTAATCCATGAAAACAAGGACGTACCTCTGGCTTCCGTTACTCACATGCTAATGCAGTGGGGACAGTTTGTAGATCACGATTTGACAGGTGCATTATTAAGAATTCTTTTAATTTTGTTTTAATTTAGATCGTTTTTTTTTCCAAGATACACAGAAAAAAATAATCATTCTACAGCCAAGGAAAGTACTTACTTATTTTATTTTATTTTGTTTAAGTACCGTATTAAATACTTACTCCACAAATCTACCACAAAGTCATTGTAACCGTTACATTTACTCAAAACATTATTCTGGTTTTCAAAGACTTATGTCAAGATATTTGAAAACTATTAGTAAGAAAATATTCTTTGTTGTAAGAAAACTTAAAAGAAATAAAATAAAATAAGTAAGTGCTTTCCTTGGCTGTAGAATAATTATTTTTATGTGTGTACGACTGTATAATTATATCCGTCCTATTAATAGCAACCGGTCAAAGCAGAGGATTTAATGGCACAATACCACGGTGTTGCTTACAAGGAGGCATCGGTTTTCAATCGCCAGAGTTCATGGTAATAAATTGACCAATGATTATATTTGTAACTTCTAACCGTAATACCGATACCATCTATTATAAACATTCCAAGACATTTTATTTGTACAGATATGATTCATATCGTGTCGATACAGGTAACTATATCAAACTGCAACATTTATGAACTGTAACTTTCGTTTCGCTTAGCAAGAAGTTCGCATTTTGATATTCCCCGCGAGAAAAAAACACACGAGAAAAAAATATATTTCTAATATGTGTCAATAGCATCCGGAGTGTCTTCCGATAGCAGTAAATCAGCGCGACAACTTCTATGGCCCTCTGGGTGTGAGGTGTTTGGAATTCCTCAGAAGCGGACCGGCTCCTAAAGAGGGCTGTGAATTTGGCCCAAGAGAACAATTAACCCAAGTGACCAGTTATTTGGATGCCTCCATGGTTTACAGCAGTAACGCCATGCACAGTGACAGTCTGAGGATATTCCGTAACGGTGAGTGCGTCAATTCCGACAGTTTCGATGGAGAGAGAAAAAGAAAGAGAGGAAGAAACTCCCTTCCCGATTCGCCTAGAATTCCTATTTCATTCAACTAAAATTTTGATTTTCTAGGCTTGCTACAACACGGAAGAATACAATCGCGAAGACCTTCGTTCCTGAAACGCGAATCGGATTTGTGCACACGCGGGTCTCTGTCTACGACTTGCTTCCGGGCCGGCGACGGACGTCTAAGCGAGCAACCTGCTCTCACGTCCCTGCACGTCGTCTTTTTAAGATTGCACAACAGGATAGCCACGGAACTATCCGTCCTGAACTCCCATTGGAGCGACGAGAAACTTTTTCAAGAAACTCGAAGGCTCGTCGGCGCGGTGGTCCAACATATAACTTATCGAGAGTTCCTGCCGATCATTCTTGGTAAGACAACGTACTTCCAATTCGGTAGTTACTGCATTCACTCGAAGATAACATGATCGATAGTGTCGTAAAGATTAAAAGAGATAAAACGTTCTGAAGTAAAGCAAACTGACGTTCCCCAGGCCCTCAGGTGATGAAAATCTTTGACCTGGAAGTTCTTAAAAAGGGTTACTACGAAGGGTACGATCCGACCGTAAATCCCACCATTGCAAATTCATTTTCTACAGCGGCTTATCGATTCGGACACTCCTTGGTCCAGCGGAGTTTTATTAGGTTTGATAGCGATCACAGGCCTATCTTTAATAGTGAGTAAAATTATTACAATATAATTATTGCAAATATTATGTTATTATTAGATTTAATATTATTATAATAATGAAAAGAATAATATATTTTAAAGCCCATTTTTCAGGCGACCTATAATTATTTCAGAAATCTAAAACATTTCTGTTTATAATTTTATGTATAATACGTAACATATGAAGAATCAGAATGCACATATATAAAATATATTTTAAAATACATACATCAAATACGGCGTATAAAGCGATAAATATAATTTTATTCTAAAATCTGAAGAAAATTATAGGTCGTCTAACAAAGAAGTAATATTGTATAAAGTCTTTAGTTACTGGATTTAAAATCAGATCAATAATTTAGCACCAGTAAATATAAATTTTAGAGAAAAAATAAACTTTTATAAGCGTAAATATTCGAGACACGTGCCCTATGCTGCTGCATTACGGTGTACTCGCTGCATAGTACAGTACACGGTAAAATGCTTACAGGCGTTGCAAAAATACAGTTACATTCAATATTTATTAAATAGACTTATGTGGCACTTACGTTCCATTCTCGGATTAAACATTTTGTTTAAAAATCTTAAAATATACTTCTATTTATTAATTTGAGATATCTTAAGTCTTAAAGATATCTGTCAGATACAATTTTGAATCACGATATATAAATATTTAGACACAATGTTTTCTAAGTATCTAATGAGTTATCTAACAAAAAAATAAAAAGCGATTTTTTTTATTAATATAACGCTTATAGCATGATATCATAATTAACTTCATTAAAACAAAATTGAGCAGTAATCAACACGAAAAATAAATACTGTCACAGATGTTTCGATTCACGACGAGTTCAGCAATCCTGCGAACCTGGATACGGCGGGATCCGTCGATCGCCTTCTTCTAGGACTAGTGAATCAACCCTGCCAAAGGCGGGACGAATTCATAACCGAAGAAATAACGAATCATCTTTTTCAAACGCCCGGTTTCGCATTCGGCATGGATCTCGCCTCTATCAATATTCAGCGGGGAAGAGATCACGGTTTACCGCCTTACGTGCGATGGCGCGAGCCTTGTGGCCTGTCCCCAATAAAAACCTTCGAGGATCTTGACAGAGTGATGTCGCCAAGCATCACGAGAAAATTTAGATCGCTATACTCGTCGGTGGAGGATATCGACCTCTACTCAGCTGGTCTGGCGGAGAAATCAATGGTTGGCGGCCTGGTCGGTCCGACTTTCGCTTGTATAATCGCTCAACAATTCAGTAATCTGCGACGTGGCGATCGATTCTGGTATGAGAATCCCGACAGCGAAAGCAGCTTCACCGCCGGTCAGTTGCAACAGATCAGACAAGTCAGTTTGGCCCAAATACTGTGTCGAACGATGGACGGCATCAAGACCATACAACCGTTTGTTTTCCTCGCGGCGGATGCGTTAAAGAATCAACGTTTTTCTTGCAATGATCCGGCCATCGGGCATCTAAACCTCGAATTCTGGGCCGAACGACCATCCGAATTCATAGGCGACACCGGCAAGTCGCAGAAAGCTAAACGAACAGCAACCAAGACGAGTAGTTCTGTTTCCAGACAAAGAGAGGAGAACATCAATACTAAGAAGAAAAAACCTAATTCCGAATCGACAAAGGTTGCAACTTCAAAGCCTTTCCAGGATAGCGTTAACCAACAGAATAAAATCGTCCTGAAGAGACCATTTGGGCGCCCGGACTACAACAATAACGTCACGATCGTGGTCCAGAACAACGCTGTAAACGCACCTGTTTTCGTGAACGAGGGTATTTACGGTTCGCATATCAAATTACAGGAACAGCAGCCTAAACCAAGCTCAAACCTTCACCATCCTTTAATAAATCCTCTGTATCGACCGCAGGGGAAACCTATACCGACGACTATCCCACATTCACCAAGTTCTTACTTAGCACGTCAGCCATATGTTCCCTACACTTTCAGCGATCCCCATAATCCGAATCCGCTAGCCTACGGATACAGATCGCCTGCTTTCGCACAGGATGACGACGTCGTTTATGACAACTACTTCGCTAGTAGTCCCAGGCCTACTCTCTACACTTATTACACGAATTTCCAGCAGGCATCTACTACCAAAATGCCAGAGGTTGACGGTTATTTGATTAATTACGGACTCTTAAATCATGACTCACTTCCAACGCATACTTATGAAAGACCTAAGCCTCCAGAAAATTTCGGACACTATGAATTAAACGATGAACAAAAACCGGCGCAGAAACCGAATTACGGTGGTCCTAAACCTCTGACAAATATACAGTTGACCAGACCAAGTTATGCATCGAGTGATGAATTTTATACGCACAGACCAAATTATGATGAGTATAAACCTTTAATAACCACACGACCGAATTCTCGACCAAGTTATGCATCGAATGATGAATCTCATCATACGCACAGACCGAGTTATGGTGGACATAAACCTTCAACAACAACCACACGACCGAACTCTCAACCGAATGTGTATATAGTAAATAATATATCTCATCATATCCACAGACCAAGTTATGACGGATATAGACCTTCAACGACCACGCGACCGAATTACGTATCGAATAGTGAACTTTATTACACGCACAAACCAAGTTACGATGGACATAGACCTTCAACGACCACACGACCGAACTCTCAACCGAATGTGTATATAATAAATAATGAATCTAATCATACCCACAGACCAAGTTACGATGGACACAGACCTTCGACGACCACGCGACCGAATTACGTATTGAATAACGAACCTTATCACACATACAAACCAAGTTACGATGGACATAGACCTTCCACGCCGCAAAATTCCCGACCGAATTTCGAATCAAACGATGAACTGTACAACGGACCAGATTATAATAGACCTAAACCTCCAGGCAACTCGCAATCAAATGATGATTTGTATCACGTACAGAGACCAATTTATAACGGATTCATAAGCTCACTAAACTTGCGGCCAGACAGGCCGAATCAGGAACCATATGGCATACAAAAACCAAGCAGTGTCGAAAATTTCCATTTACAAAACGATGATTTGATTAACAGACCGAATGAAGGTTATCCTGCTAATTCTAATAAACCACAATATCAGGGACAGTGGAACGATTATCAGAAGAGACCTAGCGAGAAACCGTATGATTACGACGATCCTGATGTATATCAGAAAAAGCCGAACAATAAACTATCAAGTTATAGCCCTGACAATTCTCATCAAATATTATCGACTACGAGGCCAAGTAACGAATATAATTCTCAATTTTGGAAAAAAGACTCGGTGCATTCCATCAAGGATCCTGTACAAGGTGGACTTTATGGATCTGTTCCGATTTCCGAACGTGAAGGAACAAATATTCCTTCTTATCAAAAAAATACGCCTACAGATTCGAGTACTTCGTCTTCTACAAATAATAATTACAATCGATACTCTGATACTACTCCGATTTATCAAAAAATACTGTCGTCCACTCAAAGTAGTTGGACGGATGTCTCACTCTATACAAAAGAAAGCAGTACTCAACCTCCTTTTAGCAAAGATCCGTTTTACAGTTTACTTCTATCCCACCAGAACCCAACAATTCACCCGAATTATCAAAAAGACGATCAATCAAAATTATCTTCAAAAGTGTCAGTCGATAAACTCCCTGTAACTGACTCATACAAACATGATTCTAAAAATCCCACAAAATCATCCAGTTTAAATGACCAATTATTATCCAGCACTCCGTATTGGTCAGAAACTTCGACGATTGGTGTTCAAATACATAAACAAGAGGGACATTTTAATTCTAAACCAACGAAGGTACAAAGCGTCACAATCGTCAGCGAAACAATCGAGACAGTCCAGCATCCTGGCCATTCCGGATACATATCTCAACACAAAGCTACTAGCGAAACTCCGAGACCGTTGGCGCAGCCGAAAAAAACCAGCGTACCAGTTACCAAGAAAGCTGGACAGTATTATTACGAGAGGAATGTGTTGCATCGATATCCAGGCGAAGTAGTTGACCAAATTCCCAAAAATAATCACCATTCGACAGACAGGCCTGAGGAGACACTCGTTCGAGAAAAGGCATCTGAGAAGATTGCAGTAGAAGCATCGGTTACTGTTGGTCCCGTAACGAACTCTAAAGTGAATCAAAGCATCGATAGTAAATTGACGACGACACCTACGCTCATGATTACTGATCATGATAATCGCAGAGATGACGTGGTGGACGACCTCGAACGTGCTTTCTTGGCAGACATCGAAAGTGTTGCACCGACTGACGTTTCCGACAGGTATTTCTTTTAAATTCTGCTTGCATGAACAACTGCGCTTTGAAACCGCAATGTATACAAGATGTATACATCGCCCACATGCTTTACATAATCAACTAGCCAAACAAGTGTATATTTCACTGAGAGACACTATTTCGCAATAGTCGTAATATACCTTTGATTAAATGCTTTTAATTAAATACCTTTAATATCTTTAATTCAGTTATATCTGTTTCTACATTATGTTCATGACAGATAATCTTGAAACGCTAATAAACTTTTATAACTCGTTTTACAACTTCTGCAAAAGTGTCTTTTTCTCCTTAGTTAGCGAGTTACTAAGATATAATTTTACGCTTGTTGAAATATCTGATTTTTTTTTTTAGAGCGAATCATTGGGTGAATTTGCAAGAGGATCTGAATTTAGCATCAATGGAAATTCCAGCAGTTCCGTTCGATGAATCCGCGAACGCCAAGGAATTACCTAAGCCCATTAAATCGCGGAGTCACGCTACTTAAAGTTCTACGCTTCTTAATTCGTCCTCAGTACTTTCGATTCCCGAATGAAATGGAAACAATAGAAAGTTTTATAACTTCGTTTACTTATATTATCGAATATCGTTAAAATCATTTATTTCAAAAAAGTACAGAAATATTAAACCAATGCTATATATAGAGAGAATTACGAAATATTTATTTTAGGCTTCACTCTCTTATTTAGCAAATATAAGTAAATATATATTATCTCATTCAGTAAAGTGTATCTATACGTTTAGATGCTAAGTTTTCAAAAGAGTATTTATCTGCAGAATGTCTTTT